TTAATTATGAATAATTTTAAATATTTTCCAATATTTTTAATAATGAAAATTTCAAAATCCTTTCTCTTTCAGGTTTTTGAAACTATAGGGCATTTTATTAATTTATTTCTTGAGTTCCTTTCCTCTTATGACTTGTTTTAAATATATTTTTCAAGGTTATATACTCCATAATTACAGGCAATTTAAAAATAGAAATTTTTTGTGAATAAAGATGTACCAAATAGAATATTTTTGTAAGATATTAAGTTGGAGATTTGGGGAGGTTCTGTTCATTTAGACTAGCCTGGGAGCTAGAGCAGGATAGAAAGTGGAAGGCAGTAAATGAGCCCAAGAGAAGCCAGGGATAAGTACATGATTCTCTCTCTCTCTCTCTCTCTCTCTCTCTCTCTCTTTCTCTCTCTCCATATATATACATATATACATATATGTGTGTGCATGTGTACGTGTATGTGTGCATGAACTGTGAGAGAGAGGGGAGAGATAAGAGAAGAAAATTCACTAGCTGTTGTGTGTAAACTAGCTGCACTTCCTGCACTACACAATTTTTTGTAGTTCCTCATAAACCCCATCTTCAGAAAACCATTTCTAGTATGATTTTTATAATGAAATATACTGAGACTCAATAACCACAGAAACTCTGACAATTTTCACTTCATGAAACATAAGCACAATTTTTCTTAACTGATGTGGCATTTTTATTGAAACTATTGTCTATTGTTGGCAAGTTACTATAGCCTGTCCACAGGACTGCATGCATTATGTCATGTATGTTAAGGCCTGTCAAAGTCAAATTTGTCCCTGGGTGTGAGTTCATCCACTGGAGCCTGTTCAGCCTGTCTAGTGTCACTCCCCTAAAGATCAACTCTCCGTCACCCAGTGCCTAAAGCTCTTCATCAAAGTTCACTCTCAGTTGTTAAAAACTAGAGGTTTCCCACTCTCAGATTCCTTCAGGGATGAAGACTGTGTGGCACACTAAGCATTCTTGCCTCTTGTATGCAAGGACTGGTGCCTGAAGTCTGTTTTGCTGTGTCTGACTATGATGTCTGTACTATGAAATCACTGCAGTGTATCTAGATAGGAAATGACTATTAATTTGTAAATGAGTTTCTATTAACCACTGTAGAGAAAACTTTTGTATTGTATTTAATTTGAAAATTGAAACTATGATTTCGTGTTCTTTTTTTGAGCCAGGGTCTCCCTATAGCCCCAGCAGGCCTGGAACTCACTTGATTCCAGAGATTTGTCTGCTTCTACTTCTGAGCACTGGGTGCCTGCACCACCATGCCTGGGCTGTTTTTATTGTATCTTATTTATTAATTTTTAATTCCAATATATTATGAACTAAAATGTATATCAGTATAAAAAGATCATATTTACCTTTCAATGTCAGTTAATGTTTTTTGCTTCTCAAAATAGGGCACTTAAGTTAATAGAGAGATAAATTAAATGAAGTCACATGAAATACAAAGGGTATTCCGTCAACCTTCAAGGTACTCTGTTGCTTAAAAGCATAAAGTGCCCTTCCAATAAATACAGTTCTTTCCACTCCAGGGACTTCTTCTGCCTAGACATTTAGATTTCTAATTAAGAGGACCTCTTTATTGTCTGCTCATTCCTGTTTATTTTATTCTCAGGGTGCTCTTGTCTACTCTGGTAAAATGTAGTCTGCAGACACTCCTTGGGGAATGCAAAGCACCATGTTCTAAACAGACATGAAAACGTCTGTTTGGAACTGTTCAAAATTGAAATCATGACAATTACTACCGATCCCACAAAGTTTATAACTGTTGCCTCAACTATTTTAAGGTTACTATTAGAAACTTCTGTTCCTAGCAGGCTGAGCTCTTAAACATGTTTTTGTCATTTGTCTTGTCCAGGATAAAGAGTTATCTGACCCACAATACTGAGTTACAGTAAACTTCACTAAGAGAAGATGAGAATCTGTGATAAGTTGGCTGAAATAATGGAAAAGTCACCCGAAAAGGAGGCTGTGTCTGCCAGGCTCTAAATGTGACAAGTACTTCTGCTAGATAGTTTGATGATCCTTAAATGATGTCAAATTTTAATGTCATTAAAGTGATACTGGTTCATTTTATTCATCAGTGGCCGCTCATAATTCTGATCGTCAATACAGAAGTGTTCCACAAGAACTCCCACAGTACTCCACAGCAGAACGATTTGGAAATTTAAATTTTAGTTCAGGAGGCAGATGCAGAGATTATGGAAATGAAACCTGAAGGACAGAGTGTCTTCGTGTGAGAATGTTACGGTGGTCAGAACCCAGGACAGTGAGCTGCCAGCAAGGAATGAACGGCTTCAGGTGTGTGTATACAAGTCAGCTGAGTTGGGAAGAGTTTTAAGCAGTCACAATAAAGAATAGGTAGAGAGAACTTCTCATAGTACAGAATAAAACAACCCTGAAACTTGGAAAATGACACAAATACAAATAAGAATTGTACAATAATGACAGTATAACAACTTTATAAGTTGTGGATATTTCAAATAAAATGATGTATAATTGAGTAGTATTCCATGCAAAAATAGTTATTAATAATTCAAAGTATAACCTAACATACAGAATAATAATGTACACAATAAAAACATACAAAATAGTATACAAAATAAATATTTAGAGTAAGAAACAATTAAATCATTCAATTTGAAATTAATAAAGAGAATCTATGACTGATTTTTAAAATATAAAACACAGAAACTCAAGGGAAACTGTATGACATTAAATAATGCTGCAGGGTAACAGAAACAAGTTTCAAACCAAGGTTGAGTAGCTGTGAAATGGGAAAATGCAAATTATGCTTAAAATAAAAAGCTATCCTTTGGGCTGGAGAGATGGCTCAGCAGTTTAGAGAACTGACTGCTCTTGCAGAGGATGTGGGTTTGATTCCCAGGACCCACAGTGCAGCTAACAACTGTCTGTAACTCCAGTTTCAGAGTATCCGACACCCACTTCTGACCTGTGTGAGCACTACATGACACGGTTGCACCTAACTACATGCAAGCAATACATCCATATACATTAATTTAAAATAAATAAAATATAAAAAATTATCCTTATTAACAGAATTTTATATATCAATGAAGCGTGGTTTAATAATTAGTCCATTAGCAAAAGAAATTAATTCATAGAAAAGACAGGAAATTATCCTATAATCATTGGGATATACACTTGAACTCATAATATATTAATATTTATAAATGTTAATGGATTTTAAATAATCTAAATCATTTTCCTTTTCATTATAAGAATTCTGCATGTGAAAGAAATCTGACATCTTTGTCTAATTTCACAACATGTTTATTCCTTATGTTAATCAATAAATTGTAAATGCATATGAATTCAGGCAATAATAATATGTTTACATTAAAAGAGAGCAAATTTTTTGAAGTCATCATATGGCCTGTCTGTCTCTCACTTAGACTTGATTTTGAACATTTCTTTTGTTATTTTCTGTTTCAAATCTAACGTCAGCCTCTATGCAGCTGTCCATCTGCTTGAACTTTTGAGTGTGGGAACTAGGCCCCATAGAAATTATGTCTTCCGTGGGCATTGCATGACACAGGTGCACTTACCTACATGAAGGCAACACACGCATATGCATTAAAATATAAACAATAAATAAAATAAAAAAATAAAAAAAATGAAAAATAAAAAAAGAAATTATGTCCTCCATATCCAGATTTACTGTTACTTGCAAAGGGAATTCTGGTTTTTTTGTGGCACAATTTTCAACTAGAAATAGAAATTATTTATTGTGATTTGCTGGTATATCCATCAAAAAATAGGAAAAATGGTTTTAGAAAAAAATAAGTGTTAATTATGACTTTCTTGGAACTAAAAACAACACTGTCTGAATTGGTTTCATTCAATAATAGTAAGATGTAAACCAACCATGATTCTCTATGTTTTGATTGTAAATATCCAACCAATATATCTATACCTATATTATATGTACCTCAACCTAGGCATTTCCACAGTCTTTTAATTTTATAAATATACATAAATCTAATGACCATTTATACATACAATTACATCTTTCTTTACTCAAAGTGTTTTATTCAACATATGTTTTGCTGTTTGTACACTTTGATTATTCTTTGTTTCCTTTATGAAATTATGACATGTCATTTTGTCATTTCGATGGCTAAGTATGTGACTCATTGGTTCATGTGCTCTGAACCCCTTTGATGAGCTACTCAGAGCCTGCACCACACTCCTTCACCATCTTCCCACTCTGGGACTAGGACCTAGGACTAGAAACTCTGCTCACAC